TATATATATATATTTTCACGTGGGTCGCTGGTTCGGGTGTGCTGGTATGCCCGAAATAATTAGCTCTGATGGATTGATGTACGAGTGCGTTTTCAACAGCCGGAAAACCGTGATGCGATGTTCACGTTGAGTGATGACTTAAAACTCCCGTGTGTTCATGCACACGGTTTAAAATGACTGTGATGGGTCAAACGGCGGGCGTGTTGCGCCAAGTTTAGTGCCTCCGGGGTAATGATGCGAAACTTTTGAAACGAACCTGGGAGTCATCTGTGGCCAAGTCGTCCGCAGCTGCGTCAATCCGCGTGATGAAGGTCTCCGCTCCAGCCCCCCCACAGGCCATGCCTCTCCCCAGCCGTCTTGTATGGAGTGTTGTTGCCGGGTGAGCCCCGTGTCCGCTTTGGGGTTCCCCGGGACGGGCGCGGCGGCGCCAGAGCGTGACTTGATGGTATGGCGCAGCAGGTGCAACGAGCCCATCCAATAATAGGCCGGGGAAAACACGGCGCAGTAAGAGGCTGCCGTGCGACTCTGCCGTCGGGGTGGGGGGGGGGGTGGTGGGGTGGGGGGGGGGGGGGGGGCACCGGTGGTGTGAGGCGGGATCGCAGTGCGGCAACGCCTCAGGCACATCTGGTGCGAGGGCCGGGAGCGGGTGCTCTTGTACGGCCGGGTGATGACGGGCGGCGCCGGGTGCGCTGGGCGCGGGCGGGTGATGACGGCCGGCGCCGGGTGCTCTTGTACGGCGGGTTGGTGATGACGGGCCGGGCGCCGGTGCTCTTGGCGGCCGGGTGATGGTGATGACGGGCCGGGCGCCGGGTTGCTCTGTGCGGCCGGGTGATGACGGGCCGGGCGCCGGGTGCTCTTGTGCGGCCGGGTGATGACGGGCCGGGCGCCGGGTGCTCTTGTGCGGCCGGGTGATGACGGGCCGGGCGCCGGGTGCTCTTGTGCGGCCGGGTGATGACGGGCCGGGCACCGGGTGCTCGTGTACGGCCGGGTGATGACGGACCGGGCGCCGGGTGCTCTTGTGAGGCGGGTGATGGGGCGGGCGCCGGGTGCTCTTGTGCGGCCGGGTGATTGACGGGCCGGGCCGCCGGGTGATTTGTGCGGCCGGGGTGATGAGGGGACGGGCGCCAGGGTGCTCTTGTGCGGCCGGGTGATGACGGGCCGGGGCCAGGGTCGGTACAGCGGGTGTGACAGGCAGCGGAGGGTGCTCTTGTCGGCCGGCGGTGATGACGGGCCGGGGTGCCGGTGCTAGTGTACGGCCGGGTGATGACGGACCGGGCACGGGTTGCTAGTGTACGGCGGGTGATGACGGACCGGGAGCCGGGTGCTATTGTGCGGCCGGGTTGATGAGGGCCGGGCGCCGGGTGCTCTGTACGGCCGGGTGATGACGGGATGGGCGGCCGGGTGGTCTTGTGCTGGCCGGGTGTGATGAAGGGAGGGATCGGGGCTCTTGTGAGGCGGGTGATGATGCCTGGTGCTCGTGGGTGGGTGATGACGGACGTGGCGCCGGGTGCTCGTGTACGGCCGGGTGATGACGGGCGGGTTTGTCACGGCTCGTGTACGGCCGGATGATGACGGGCCGGGTGCCACGTGCTTGTGTAGGGCCGGGTGAAACGGGCTGGGGCCGGGTGTCTTGTGCGGCCGGGTGTGATGACGCAAGGTGACGGCTTGCTTCTCCGGCCGCCGCGCCGGCACGCGCACGCGTGATGGCCAGGGCGGGTGTGTGGCCACACTCAAGTGACAGTGAGTCACACTCAAACTCACACTCACAGTCACAGTCGCAGTCACAGCCCTGCAGCGGCAGATCTTCAACAGTGCCACGTCAGCCGCTGTCCGGAGGGTTGGCTAGCTCGCGAGCACCATGTCAGCCGCGCGCCACCGTCCCTCCCATCCCCGCCCTTGCATCGCCGCGATCTGACCTTGGTCGTGGTGCGGCGACCAGTCTCGCACCGAGCGGGGCTCGGATGACAGGGCTGTCCCGGGTCGACCGGTGGCAGTGTCCGCAGCGTCCGGAGTCGGATCCAATGCGAGATGGTGGCGCAGCTTCTTGATGCGCTTACCGCGCCCAGGCCAAACAGCACGGTGTCGTCCCGTAAACGGACGGCCACTGGTGTGGTAGGCAGCAGCGGCTGCGTAGTTGGTGCCGCGTCACCGCCGAGCCGCAGCGCCGTCTGCAGCGCGGGTATGCGGTTGGTGTCCGCGTGGCACGGCGACCTTGTGGGCTGGGCTACCGGCACTGCTATGCTAAGAGCTTAGGGGAAACTGTCTTCCCGAATAAGGTGTGGGTTATAGTGCAGTCTCCTTGAGAGAGCTTAAACTGCCGGTCAATGAATCAGCCGAGCCGAACATTTTAAAACTATGCCCCCTATTTAGGTGGTGAGGTCCCCTCTGGTCCTCGGGTCTAGTGTTTTCTGACAGTTTAAGATGCCTATAGGATATTTAGAACACAAAAACGAGCCTCAAACACTGAAATAGATGCTGCGCTAAAAGACGCTCACGAATCCAAAACAGACCCTGTTGGCCCCCATAGCCCCTATAGCAACAAAGAGGTTGAGACCTGACCTGGCACTCTTCTAAAACGGTCTACAATGCTCAAAATGTGGTCATGTTATTTTCTCTGCCGCTCCTCATCAGTACGATCTTTATTATGAGTCAGCTAAGGCAGAAATGATGATATTTTGAGGTATATTTTGATCTAACGTGAACAGTAACGGCGACCGCCCTACGGCTGCTGACCTCTGACCTCTGACCTCAAGGGTGGCACGCCCGCTTCACCCAGCCTGTCGTTGGCTGTTTGTGCACGGTTGATATAGGACGTAGAAGCACGTCCAGCTGGGCGGGGGAGGGGTGGGGGGGTTGGGGGGGGGGGGGGGAAGGGTTCAAGTGTGCACCAATCCTCGTGGGCCCTATGGAACGGACGAGCTACACACAATCCTTTTGAGATAAGACAAACAAGAATAGTGTTGGCAAATTACCATACTGTCGAGATATTCTTTAAGTGTGATCTTTCCCCATGACATGGAAGAATTCTTCGTCACGACTCCACAGTAGTGCTACTGGATCCGACCTACCCAGCCTAGCAGTGGGCGCCGGACACGGAGCTCCGAGGGCTGCGTGGGCAGGCTGGTCTCAATGTCAGCGGGCCTCTGACTCGAGCTGGACCCGGCCGGGCTGGCTCTGGTGTCGTGCAGCCGGCCGGTGGCGCGGCTGAGACTGCAGCGCGTGGGGTGGTCCGCCGCCGCCGGAGACTTCAACTGCAGTCGGCAGGCTCCTGAGGGAAACTGCGGCGCTGAACAAGAGAGCAGCACCGACCGTCAGAGCTCCTCTCCCCCGCGCCGGGCGGCTTCAGGGCTCCGCTTCCCCGCGCCGGGCGGCTTCAGGGCTCCGCTTCCCCGCACCGGGCGGCTTCAGGGCTCCGCTTCCCCGCGCCGGGCGGCTTCAGGGCTCCGCTTCCCCGCACCGGGCAGCGTCAGGGCTCCGCTTCCCCGCACCGGGCGGCTTCAGGGCTCCGCTTCCCCGCGCCGGGCGGCTTCAGGGCTCCGCTTCCCCGCACCGGGCGGCTTCAGGGCTCCGCTTCCCCGCGCCGGGCGGCTTCAGGGCTCCGCTTCCCCGCACCGGGCGGCTTCAGGGCTCCGCTTCCCCGCGCCGGGCGCCTTCAGGGCTCCGCTTCCCCGCGCCGGGAGGCGTCAGGGCTCCGCTTCCCCGCGCCGGGCGGCTTCAGGGCTCCGCTTTCCCGCACCGGGCGGCGCCAGGTAAACAGCATCCGGCTGGCGCCTTGCGACCGTATACTGTAGTTACTTTGAGCTACAGTATTTTGTAGCCTGCTGTTCGGTGCGCACTGACTAACGGTAATGTAGCTGAGTGTGGCCTCGTGACCCCCGCTGATGGTTATGGCAGCGGCGATGATGATGATAATTATGATGACGCTGATGGTGAGGATGATGTTGACGACGAACACGATACTGATAATGGCGATGGCGATTATTCTGA